TTTGTAGGTTGTTAAACTTCAGACCCAGACTAATTCTAGCTTATTTACAGCTTTTGCAATGTAGATCTTTGAATTGTTGATGTGAATTAATCTATTGTTGGATTTGATTGTGGATCTTGTTGTTTGATTGATGCAATTGGTGTTTGATTACTGATATTTGATGAGTTTTTTGTGTATAATTGCATACCTATTCATTTGGATGATTGGATAAGTGATTTACTGCTAAAAGTTCTTTTGAAAAGTTGAATTTCTGCCACTGTCACAGTGGTAATCGATTACCGTATATGGGTAATCGATAACCCTGTCCTTTTTTTCCTCATTTTTCTGAAGTTTTCAAGTGGGTAATCGATTAACCACATATAAGTAATCGATTACCACTATGACAAAATGTGTTTTTCTTGCTTTTTAAGCTTGTTTAGATCCCTTTCCACTTTTAAACTTCATGGATTGATATGATGCATATTTATGGATTATTTTCGAGCTGTTTCACCTCACACGACAATATGAATACGATTCTTCAACACGCGACCCGTGATGCATGTCCATGATTTATGTGTTGTGCATTCTTGGTGTGATGATCGTGTTGCATAACCATTTGCACGATGATGATTGCATGTTCTTGATGCATATTATGTCTGATTCTTGGCACATGCTCGTATTCAATTTCAATTCCGTAAGTGCATGATCGTTTGAAGCGAATAATTGTTGTTGACTATCCATGTTGTGTTGTCATATGCTTAAGTATGTAATGTGGTTGCAATTTCTTCATGCTTAATTGATCATCCATGTTCATTGATTATACCCGTTCATACGTTTGCTTAAGTGTTAACATGATCATCGCTTGCATTCTTGGTTCTTGCTTATGATGTTTAATCGAGAACATGTTGTTGCTTGTTTGTTGTTTGACATAGTTGATTATTGCTACATGTTCACATATGGTTGATTGTTTCATTTTCAAGTTCATGATTACTTGTTTCATTGTTGAATGCACATGCTGCCTATGCTTTTACACTTGTTATGTTCTGTTAATACATGCTGTTAAATGCACTCATTATGTCCTGCTGCATTTCATACATGTTTCTGCCTCGAAAATATATGCTGTTAAAAGGTTGTCTTGCTTGTTTGCTGGAATCTACTGTTGTTCTGAGCTGGAGCGTTGATGTAGCTGTTGTTTTTGGTTTATTTTCTTGGCTTTGGTTTGCTTTTGCATGTTCCCTTAGGATTCACTAGTCCAAATTAATTTTTGATTAAGCTTGGAGTAGGATAGACATTAGGAGTTAATCAATGCATGATGACATTAGGTTAGTCCCTTTTAACCTTAATCTTAAGTCCATCTTTTGCATGCTAACATTAGGATAAAAATTCCTTTCGCATCCTAACCTTAGGGCCATTTTGCATGATAACATGTAGGACCGATTTTCCCTTGGACTTTATGTGCGTCTTCTTTCTTTTCTCCAAACAAAACTTAAAACACTTAATAAATACGGCGAGTATTGTGTGCCACGAGCCTTAATTATATGGGAAATGATGAGTGAGGAGTCTCTCCTTACTTCGTTTAGAGTGTTTAGCATATGTCCCGTTTGGGAGCGTCCTTGCGACGCATTCGCTCATATATCATAGACTTTAGTGCAATATGAGTCTCAAATCAATTCAATTCACTTCTGTTTAAAACTCATAAATAAACCGCAAATCATTTTATCCTTCAGGGTTGTTTGTCAAGTCATTTTTAGAAAGAGTGTGTTATTTCCGTTCTATCACAAACAGACGTCGACCCTAACTGCTAGAACGCGAACCTAACGTCGCTCATAAAAAACACTTATCGACTCATACGCCGAACTACGGCTACTCTGATTTCTCATACCATGTGAGAATACGTAGGCACAAGACGGTGAAGTATTGGTAAGCAATCTTCCTTTTCACCCGTAGTCTTCTGAACTATGCTGACTCTGACTTTCCCATTGCATGAGGGAATACGTAGGCCTATGAAGGCGAATCCTATCGAGTCTCCTTTTGTTTTTTTCTTTTCGTTCTCTTTTCCATTAGTAGTAAGCTTTAGATAACACACAATTTGATTAGACAACAAGCGTGGATCCCGTTGAGTACAACAGACGCGAGGGGGTGCTAATACCTTTCTCTTGGGTAATCGACTCCCGAACTCAGGATTTGGTTGTGAGACCATGTATTCTCCCTTTTTTTAGGTTTCTTCGATTGTTCCCATCCCCCGTCGGGATAAATAACGTTTGGTGGTGACTCTTCTTTTTTTTCCGCTGGTTATTTTTCGCGTTGCGACAGCTGGGAACTCTGGTTCCCTGTGCGAGTCAATCCTAGCGCTTGTTTGTGTATGTCCATTGGGTGTTTATTTTTTATGCTTTTATGTACAATATGATTGTATATTATTGCATTTGCATTATATTATTGCATTTGATTACTGTTATCATATTGCTCTGCTACTACTGTGTTATTGGGTGGGATTGTTCCATGAGAGATAAGCCCACTGCCCAGGCTTGAATGTACACTTAGAATTAGAGTGGATATTAGTGTGGCTTGCGTGGTGTCTAGCCATGTTTAGCTGACACGAAATTCACATTCATACGAGGTTTTCTTTGGAGATATTTTATCCTTCGCATCTGGTGTAGATGATTGATTGTTGACTTAGAAAGCTTACGACTCTGGAGACCATTCATGGGAAATTAGTTAAGGCATCCTTGATTCATGATGATTCTAAACCAGAAATCGTAAACCTATCATCATTTCTCGACCTGTGAGTCTGTGATACTGAGGACCTGCTAGGATGTCATGTCCAAGACTAGAACCCACATGTGAGAGGAGATGGGTTTCTAGGAAACCTTGACCTTCAACCTACATGGTTTTTTGGTTTTCTTACTAGTATGGACGTCTGATCTTGGAGTTCTGGGTATTATGGTTATTCTGGTATTCTAGTTTTCTAGTTTTCTCGTTGGAACAGAACTATTTCCTTATTCAGTTGATAGTGCAACAGCTATTCAGAGCATATGGATACCTTGATCCCATGTTTGCATTTGCATAATAATTTTGCATCCTAACATTTATGTTTGTGTATTTCTAGGGTTTGCATCTTATCTTTAATTCCTATTGTCAGAGGTTTATAGAGATGGACACTGGTAGAAAGAAGATCACCGTATGCAAGTTTCCAGCTCCCGATCTGGTTTCCCTTCATGGTTGATTACTCTGGCAGATTCTAGCATTCTCGAAGGATTATGAGAGGATTTTGAGTTTTATGCACACTATTACTAATTACGAGTACAAGGCCATTCATACACTTCTACAGTTCTACGACCCTCCGTTGCGATGTTTCACTTTTTCAAATTATCTGTTGGCTCAAACGTTAGAAGAGTATGCATTCATCTTGGAAGTTCCTATCAAGGATAAGACACCTTTCTTTTATTCCAAGGAGAATCCTAATCTCAATGATGTTGTCGCTTCTCTTTATTTGAGCAAATATGTATTGGTGGACCACATTATTAGCAATGGAGGATTTTCTGGATTTCATTTGTATTTCTTGTTGAGTGAGGCTCAAAAGTATGCTGAAGTTGGTAGTTGGGTGGTTTTCAACTCTATCTTTTCTTTGTGCGTCTATGACATCGCCTTATTCCCCAACATGGCTGATTTTGTGGATATAAGTGTTGTTCGCATCTTTATTAAGAAGAATCATGTGCCTACTCTCTTAGGGGACATGTATTATTTTGTGCACTATAAGAATGAGAAAAGAATAGGAGGAATGGTTTCCTATTGTGCACCGCTCCTTCACAAGTGGTTTATGGATCATCTTCCTTACTCTAGAGCTTTTGTTGATTCTAGAAAATCTTCCGAGTGGTCTAAAGATTGATGGGTCTAACTGTGAAGGATATTGTCTGGTTCAATCATGGTTTTCTTGGCAAGGAGATCATCTACAGTTGCGGAGACTTCCCAAATATGCCTTTAGTAGGGAGAAAATTGAGTATTAATTATAACCCTTCTCTTGCTGTTAGACAATTTGGATATGCCTTGAGAGAGCCACCTAAAGATGATAATGTTCTTGAAAAATTTAGGGAAGACTCGTTTATATAAATAATATTAAAAAAGAGTACAATTTAGTGATTTACTATACTGAAGAATTTTAACTTTTTAGAGTTATTTATTAATTACTTTTCTTCTGCACAAGTAGAGATTCAATGAAGTTTTGAAAAAAAATTGGTGATAGTTTAAAACAAAGATTAAGTATGGATGAAGATGAAACAGAAATAGAAAAATGTGCAGTTTAATGTCAATAATTTGTTTGAATCTAAGATTTGATATTAAGGGATTTTAGATTTATAATTTTTTTGGAATTTTTCTGAAATTTAGATGAATATCAATAAAGATGGTGATGAAGATGAAGAACGAAGAAAATGAACGTAGGTAACAAAATATTAGATATTGATGATTTATTATTATAATTTATAAAGTCTCAAAATTTAAAAGTGTAAAATTTATCAAAAAATTAAATGATTAAAATTAAAAAAAAAATTAAAGTTTAGGATGAACACTAATCAATATTGTCTCATAAAATATATTTAAAATTAAAAATTAACCAAATTAACTAATAAAATAATTTTTAAAAAATTAAAATATAACGTTTATTAAATAAAGAATAACGGAGAATTTTAAATTAAGTTAAAGGATGATGCTATATTTTTGGAAAAAAAAAGCTATAGGTAGGATTTGTTCTTTCCTTCAGAATTTCGCAAATCGGTAAAACCTTATCTGAACCACACAAAAAATTATGATGAACATAACGTGTCACCATATAAACGTGTAAACTCAAATTCAATATACACCTTACAAAAGTATCACCCCAAAAAAATCAACATGGTAACGACAAGATAACATTACCACATCATTTCACCCACTCACTCACCCATCATAAACAATAGGTGTGACCTTGTGCTATTATTTTTGCCAAGCGCCACCACTACACCACAGATAGAGGAAAACTCAAAACCATGAAAGCTATGAAAGCTTCACTACACATAGCTACTCCTTTTGCTCTCATTTCACCCAACCAACTACTCAATTCAATCGCTCTTGGTAATTATAACACATCCACTCTCTCCATAGATTACTTTTATGATTGTTTTCAAAACTGTTTTGCTTTCTTAAATTCATCAACATCACTCTTAGCCAGTACTTATTATTACATGTATGTGTGTTTAAATCTTAATTATTTATATGTGAAATTTGTAATTGCAGGGGATAAGTATTTTGGTTTCAAATATAGCAAAGATAAGAGGATTGTAATGACAATGGTGGCCACAGGATTAGGTCAAGGTGGTGGTGTGTTGGAGAAGCCCCCAACCATAGAGACAACATCGCCTGGTCGAGAATCTGAATTTGATTTAAGGTAATAATTAATAACATTAGAACTTTAGAGATTATGATATCAGACATTACTTATGTATGCTTCAAATTGTTAGGTCAACCCATCAAGATACTAAAAATTGGTGTTATGAACTATAAAATACATATGAAATTCCTTAATTTTTAATTGTCTGATCTTAATCAAACGATCACTAGTGTCCTAAATGTCTGAATGTTGAATTCTCCGATTGCATATGATTCCACCCACTTCATGTGGTTTAATTTAATTGTCTATTATAAATTGTTTTGGACTGGTCAAATAGTCTCACATTTCTTAGAAATAGAGACTAACAGTGGTTTATACGCAACACCTCAACCCAACAAAATGTTTTTTCTAGGGTTCTTAGATCCAAAGTGGACAATACCTCGTAGCCATATGTGAGAACTCAAAGTTCGCACTGTGCTCCTTAGTCTCGGCTGGAGGCAATTCTTCTGGATTGGCCAAAATAATTCCACATTGCTTAGGAATCGAGGCTAATGGTTGTTTATATACAACACTTCGACTATAGGGCAACTATATCATGTTGGCCAAAATAGTCCTACATTGCTTATGTATCGAGATTAATGATAGTTTATATACAACACTCATTCACATCAACCCAATGAGATATTTTTTCTATTAGATAAAGTTGTGGAAATTCTCACACCAAAACGGACCATAACTCATAGTTGCAGTGGCGTGGCTTGACGCGGACCAGAACATAAGTGATAATAAGAGTGAAAATTAGTCTGTTTTCATAATCACTAACATTTATTTATAGGTCCACTATAATTATTTTACTTTTTTAGATGAACTAAGGCATAATTAGTTGTCAAAAGAAAAGTAGATGAATGATTTCTTTTACTTCTGGGGTCTTTGAAAAAGAAGTGTAACTATGAAGTATATGAACTCATTTTGTGGACACTCATTCCTATCATGTCTTTGTTTCTGCATGTGCACTTCCTTTTCGTTGTATTTCTCTGTCTCATTATGTCACATAATAACATTCATTGAAATGCAAATTGATTAGTCAAAACTCATAATTGTGTCGTGTCGTATCTGATGTATGTATCAATCTGTGTTTGTGTCTGTACCAATCTGTGTTTGTGTCTGTACCAATCTGTGTAAGCTCATATGTTTTATTATTTTTGTTACTAGGAAATCAAGAAAAACATCCCCACCATACAGAGTAATGTTGCACAATGACAACTATAATAAAAGAGAATATGTAGTACAAGTGTTGATGAAAGTGATACCCGGAATGACAGTTGATATTGCGGTTAACATCATGCAAGAGGCACATTATAATGGATTAGCAGTGGTCATTATCTGTGCTCAAGTTGATGCTGAAGATCATTGCACACAATTGAGAGGAAATGGCCTTTTAAGTTCAATTGAGCCAGCAGATGGTGGTTGTTGAATTGAATATTCAAAAATTAATGAAGATATATCAAATTCACCGCAGTCAAATAAGTTGGAATCGTCAGATGAAGATCAGATAATGTATAGTTTAAGATCGATAAATCGAATATATGATATAAGTTGTCTGATCTTCAGTCAGATAATTCTGATGGATTGACTCTGGTGATTAGTATGTGATATTAAACTATAGGGTGCTTAAGTGTATATATATTATTATATACACATTTTTCAGTGTCCTACTTCCCAAACATTAAAAGATAGTTAATAGTTGTATACAGTATTTGTGACAAGGCATGGACAGGTATTATATAAGAACATTCACAGGCTTTTTGATATGTTGGATTAAGATGAATTTATGCATATGCTGAAATCAGAGTCAATGAAGCACTAATTAGTCCTAAAAAAGGTTAATGGTAGTATAAGATAACATGCCAACATGAAATGAATTTAAACTTTAGGTGTCAAATATAATGCTAACTTGAAGTTATATAAGAATATTGTCAATGTTCAAAGTTTGCAGGATTGAAGACTTTCAAAATTTGTTAGAATTTATCAGTGGCCTAATTCCAGAATTGAAAAAGTTATTCATTTCTAACATGTTTAACAGAATTTATATGAAAGAAGGGATGGAGATTACACTAGCAAAAGTTAGTTTTTCTAACTCACAAGCTTATTTAGAATCCTAAATAATTAAGTGACAAACCGACATTAACTCTCAATTAAGACCCAAAGTTACCAAATTACAAAACAGGTTAAAAAGCAAATATTAGACATGACAAGCATTTTAAAACCTAAAGTACAAAGCCATCAAATTTTTGCTAAAATCTACTAATCAAAATCCTCCATACTTAAAAGGATGATTCAAAAGACAAAAATATATATTTTTACACACAAATAAAAATTATATAATTTCAAAAGATTCTAAAAATGCACACTCGAGATTTCAATGAGCATGACAATCTTAAATAACATCTTATGAAATCCAAAATGAACATTCTCACAAAATAGGATAACATTCACGCAAAATATATATATATATATATAAGATATTCATAATGGTTAAAGTATTTGGAGTATCAGTAATTACACTTGAAGTACATAAATGCTAGTACTATAAGAGACTTCACAATCCTAACGTTCACACTCGAAATATATGTATATAATGATGGAAATGTCTTTATTAAGATTATAACTGGACTAAAGTTAAGGTGAGGTAATCTTAACGAGCATTGGACTATACAAATAAAGAGAATAAATAGCAATGACACTCAAATGTAAATTAAGTATGATACACATTTCAACTTAGCAATGTATGACTAATTTCCATTTCTCCACTTTTACACTTTTTCTTCTACTTTATATTTTTTAACGATTAATATCCATTTTCTCTCATGCCATATGAGGCTCATTGGAAAAACGTCCCTGTAATAAAGATTCTCTCCTCGGCCTTTTTAGATTCTCATATTTGGTTACCGAATTTGTGAGGTGACAAAAACAAGTGGCGTTTATTTAATTTTTCATTTAAATACTTATCCATCTCACATACACATATTAAGTTATGTTTGTTTTCATTTATACTTTATTTTCAAATAACTAAAAAATTAAATTAAAATTTAATGAAAAATTAAGAAAAATTAGGTAATCAAAAGACAAATTTTGGAGTGTTTGATTTCCCCCTTAAAACTTAAAATAAAAATACGAGTGTTAGTCATCGTCTTCTCACCCAAGTTGGTGTAATTCCATCAACACAGAGTGAAGCTTCTTCATCTTTCGAAAGTATGTTGCATTTCCTCTGTCGTTTTCTTATACATTTGTGTTACCTATCGTTTATTGTATATTTCCATTTCATGTTTCTCATAATAAGAAGTGTTTTTTTATTGAACCTGAACCACTTATGTTAAGTTTTATGCATGGGTATGTTTAACGTAATCTTTCACCATGATGGGGAGTTTGTCTGTGATAGTTTCATTTTCTATAGAGGAGATGATGAACCAATCGTTAGCGGGCAAGATTCAGATACATGGTCGTATTTTGAAACTTTAAGCTTAGTCAAAGTATGAAGTTATGATGGCAGTGTTAGATTGTCAAGAAAGATTGAAGGGATTGATGAAGGTTTCTTCAATATGAATGATGATTCTGATGTTGAAGAAGTTGCAATTCATTCAATTTTTAACAATATTAATTGACATATATGGGTGGAACATAATGTTGAAGACAACTCAAATAAGGTGCTCATTCCAAAATACGCAGATGTTGTTGAACCGAGTGATGAAAATAGTGATGATGATACTAGAGGTATAAGATTTGATGATAATGAGGAAGATAGAGCTAATAAAAACAATGAAGGCTTTGTAGTTATTGAGGTTGATCAACCAGCAGAAGATAATAGGGTTGAAATCAATGGTAAGAAATATAGATACAAGTTAAAAGGAAACAAAAATGGATTTACTGTAAGATCTCCTTCAAATATCAGGTTGGTTGCTCCTCCATGTATTATT